CGAAGCCGTAGACAAAGCTAAACGTGCTCAGCTCGACTGTGGTGCCCTCCCCAAGTCACGCAAGCGTGTTTACAGAGAGCTTGATGCGAGACTTCTGAGACTGAAGGAGCACCTCCAGAGCGGCAGAAAAACGCCTCTTCAGTACCTTGATGCTGCTGGACATCTTATCCAGTTTGCAAAGTGATTGTCAGTTGTGTGTAATTGTGAAACAAGTAAAATACTGTAAAACCACTGAAAGACAGTAAAACCTATCAGTTTGTCATGATAAATCCATGTCTCCATGTAAAGTCTGAGAATTCTCAGAATGAATAAAGATGTCCTGCCAACCAACACTTGTCATTTATGGGAATACACCGATTAAACTCCTAACTCCGACCTGGGACCCGTTCAACAAATCCACCCCAGTGTTAAAACTGTCTTGTTAAGAGTGAGCGAGATTAGTTTTACGCCGCTTTTGGCAATATTCCAGCAATATCATAGCAGGGGACACCAGAAGTGGCCATCACAGTTCACACATTGTACCGATATGGGAAATCGAACCCGGGTCTTAGGCTGACGAGCGAATGCTTTAACCACTAGGCTTCCCCACCTCCCCTGTCGTGTTAAGACTGACTGACTGAGTTTGGTTTTACGCCGCTTTTAGCAATATTCCAGCAATATCATAGCAGGGGACACCAGAAGTGGCCATCACAGTTCACACATTGTACCGATATGGGAAATCGAACCCGGGTCTTAGGCTGACGAGCGAATGCTTTAACCACTAGGCTTCCCCACCTCCCCTGTCGTGTTAAGACTGACTGACTGAGTTTGGTTTTACGCCGCTTTTAGCAATATTCCAGCAACATCACGGCTGGGGACACCAGAAATTGGCTTCACACATTGTACCCATGTGGGGATTCGAACCCGGGTCTTCGGCGTGACGAGCCAACGCTTTAACCACTAGGCTACCCGACCGCCCCTGTCGTGTTAAGAAATGATAGTTACTATCGTCTTACGGCTAAACTCGCTTTGTGTAACGGGTCCTTAGATGTTAATACAAGGCAGATGGCATCTCAACAAAACCCAGGGAATCATACATTTTAGTACAGTTTGGTGCGCTGTGTGTAGACGTGGTTTCCAGCAGCAATGATCACTATAAAAAAATGTGTAGTCTAGTTTAATCATCGCGGTCTGTAAATATTCGTATTTGGTCCAGAAAAACCAGTGGTTGACAGCATGAGTGAAAATCCCTGGGTCACGGTGACATAACAGCACTGCAGTGGGTTATAAGCATCTGCTCTCATACAATTCTCAGTCAATACTGATTTAATGCAATGGGTAATCACACCGGGAGTAACCTGGGTGAATGGGAGTTTGATTACCAAAGATATTGAGTCATATAGTTTCCTGAAAATGTAAATCCTTTATGTTACTATGGTGACGATAGGTGAAATAAATAAATAATGGTTAAATATACGAATTAAATAACATGTCAAAAGTTCATATTTCCTGTACTCCGAACAATTTTTCCTGATTTTTTTCGACCGAATTTATGAATCCCTATATGACATTCAAAGGCCAATAGGCCATGATTCCATTCTCTCACCTGAACCAGACCATTGTTTGATTTTGTTTGCTTCGTTGTCTGTTGCTTATAACGTACCCGGCAATGTTCCAGATATATGACAGTGGTCTGTAGATAATCGAGTCTAGACCAGACAATCCAGTGAATATCCACCAACGATGGGCATGATGTGTCTACCTTGAGGTTTCAAGTAGAAACACAGAGTTGTTAGGGCCTATATATTTATAAAAGGTGGAACATTGCGACTACAAACGGCAGATGTTACAAATGACATATAATTGCACTGACTAACGCCTAGTCTCTGACAATAATATTTCTGATTAAAAAAACTCAACTCCATTCAAATTGAAAAAGTGCCTGATGAGCACAGAGATTCAGAACCTGAGGAAATCAAGACTTGCTTCGTTTAGGGCTTTAGCATTTCAGAAAGGGCCGGGCTGAAGGGAAAATAATACGGCTCACGGACTGTGAGAGTGAGTGAGTGAATGAGTTTAGTTTTACGCCGCACTCAGCAATATTCCAGTTATATGGCGGCGGTCTGCAAATAATCGAGTCTGGACCAGACAATCCAGTGATCAACAGAATGAGCATCGATCTGCGCAATTGGGAACCGATGACATGTGTCAACCAAGTCAGCGAGTCTGACCACCCGATCCCATTAGTCGCCTCTTACGACAAGCATGTGTTACTGAAGGCCAATATTCTAACCCGGACCTTCACGGGTTCACGGACTGTGAGACAGACCAAAAATGGTGTATTGTTATCTTGGACTGTGCTAAACGTAGTCAATTATACAGATGTATAACATTGTCAATAATTCCACATAGAACTGAACTACAAAAAAAGTACGAAACCAATAGTCAGTTTTGTCCCTCATCACTGTGTTCACGGGGCTGGTCCCATAGGGAATCGCGGTCAGAATACGTCCTAAGTAACCATTTATAGCAGTGATTGGCAACTAAATGGATCAGTGGCCAGAGCTTGACATTTAACCCAAACTGTTCGTGATATCAATTAACCTTTTTGTGTTGTTCAGATTCAGATTATATCCAGCATACCAATATTGCTGGACCTTTGCTGACTGCAGACTTTCAACAACAAACAGATCTGTAATTTGTTATGGTAGAATTGATATAACATTTTGTTTCCTGTCTGGAGTTAGGTTGCATGTTCAAGTAGATTTTGAAACTGAAAGCAGGATTTCAGGTTTCAATGTTATGGTGTCTAACATCTCCAATGATTTAGCTCCAAAGTGAACACATATGCGATTGATTGATTGATTAATTAATTTGATTGATTGATAGATTTGTACCCATGTGGGTAATCTCGGGTCTTCTGTGTGGCGCTTTAACCACTAGGCTACCACATCGTCCCTGAGTGAGTGAGTGAGTTTAGTTTTACGCCGCACTCAGCAATATTCCAGCTATATGGCTGCACATCGTCCCTGAACATATATGTAATAATTGCGGTGCATATAAGAAATCTAATTACAAAAGATACACACGTCTTCAATTTCAACATCTATGCTAGACATTTCACTATAGTGAGAGCAGTCTGTGGAAAACAACTTTTGTGACACCTTCCCCCAACCATGGCTCTTTACATGTATTTCAGCAGAATTCAGTATTATGAATTATTTTTAGCTGAGCTTACAGACCAAACATAATTTTAGTAGACTGCTTTGGACCAGTGGCGAGAATCACAGACTGTGAGAGACAGACACCTCATATGGGGTATTCTCGGGACGTGGACACCCTGTGTCGTGTAAAAACACCCTGCATGTGTCGTGTAAAAACAAAGTGCAGGAAATAGTGTCCACTTCGTGCGAATGGGTTACTGAGCTAATTAACGCCAGACAATAGACAGAGCGTGTGATTGCAAGACTTCACGAAACCTTAACAATTCCGGATAACAGTTCACATTTTAACACTTCCCGACCAGTTAATCCCTTACTAAAAAAACAGACATCAATGGTACACGTCTGTCCACGTCCTGTGAATGCAAAATTTCAGGTTGTCCACGTCCTGAGAATGAACCCTTCATATGGCTGCGCTGAATTCAAGTTCAGTGCTAAAAACAATGGGCTTGACAGAACACCAGGTTACAGCCAATTATGCAGCTTGTATTGTCATATGATAATGTATAAGAGTCTTCTTAATTGCTCAAAAATTTTAAGATGGTTTTAAAGCTACTTGCAGCAATAGTTAATTTACATCACAACCACTTGGAGAGGTCCAGACACTGTTTGCAGAACCTTGCCCTCTGTCTTCCAGAGAAACCAGTGAAGATCTGGGTTAGAATTGATCTTCAGTAACCCATGCTTGTGGTAAGAGGCCCCAAACGGGATGGGGTGGTCGGGATGGGGTGGTCAGGCTCGCTGACTTGATTGACAGGTCATTGTATCCCAATTGCGCAGATCGATGCTCATGCTGTTGATCACTGGACTGTCTGGTCCAGACTCGATTACAGACCGCCGCCGTATAGCTGGACTGACTGAGTTTGGTTTTACGCCGCTTTTAGCAATATTCCAGCAACATCACGGCGGGGACACCAGAAATGGGCTTCACACATTGTACCCATGTGGGGATTCCAACCCAGGTCTTCCGCGTGACGAGCAAACGCTTTAACCATTAGGCTACCCCACCGCCCCTCATATAGCTGGAATACTGCTGAGTGATGCATAAATCTAAACTCACTCAATCACTCTTCCAGAGAAATCCGGAACTGACCCAGCAAACAGCAAATCCTGGCAGTCAAGGGACACTGCTCTGATGGGTTTAACCAACATTTGAACAGCAATTGTGTTTAGAAATATTCCAGCAATATCATGATGAGGGACAAGAGAAATGGGCTTCACAAATTGTACCCATCTGGGGAATCGAACAAACCGTCTTCGTCTTGACGAGCGAACACTTTAACCACTGCTACCCCACCGCCCCTACTGTGTATATTAGTGGTGGTCCGATTAATTGAAATAATTGAAGATTGGTCGCAATGACAAAACGACCAAGCAATCGATCATGTTTTCTCATATTCAAACACAAACAATTTTGGACCACTTGTTTGCAATAACAATATTTTTCAAAAGGCTGATTTTGTCACCACATTGCATAAGCAATACAAGCTCGTTCCAAGTTATGATTAAGTTTATCTTAACAACTCCAGGAAATGTATGTTCCTAACACACTAGTCATCCTTTAAAGATGTGAAATTTGCAAATGCATTTTGTGCAATTTCGGCGAAAAAAAACCGAGAGAACTACATGTTTTTTCTTTACTTTTTGTTGTGCATTAACAAACATAACCAGGAAAATTTGATAAATGACGTTAACCAATTATTTTCGATGATTGATCGGTTGTAATGAACCAATCATCAATAATGAGATTTCAACCAATTCCCAACACTAGTGTATATACACACAACAGGACAAGAACAGACAGTGACAAAGTTTATTCATACAACACAGCTGTGACACATCAGCTGACATGAACTGTTAAACATTATGAACCTGTCAAACTCATAGCACTTAGATACAGCTTACCTCAAACTATGCACTGAACGACCAGATTGCTATGAGAAGAAATGGGTAATATTTACTGTGCCATGTTAGACAGGCAGCCACCAACACAGCATTGACATCAATACAAAATCTCAACAACTCTATGTTATGTTACAGTGTAATATTTTGTGTTGGTGTCAAGTCATGAATGATACAATCTGCATGATGAACTCAAGATGGACAAATGTGCACAATGTGTGCAAATCAGGAACTGAGAACTTGGTTGAGTCTTCGACAGGACATTGGATATAAATGATGTAGATATCTCCATCCTCTGTCTATTTCAGTGGCTAGTCTGTGTCCATAGCTTGGGGTCGCACCTCTGTTTGTATAACGTCAAACTCGACTTTCTTCACCTCAGTCTTCAACACAGACGATGTACCTCGCTTGTAGCGATAGGAGCCTTGTCTGTGAATAGCAAGTAACAAGATATAGTTGCTACATGATCACAACTTGAATATGCCCTTAGAAATCACAAGATGAATCCAAATACATCCAAGATGAATTGGTCCCTGTACATTGGAAGCCCAACATGTGTTCATGTTAAAGAATTGGAGCTACACAAATCATGTTGCTGAACCAGATCCTATTGTGTGTAACTCAAGTCTGTATTACCCATCATCAAGTTGCTAGTCTGTATTACCCAACTGCTAGTCTGTATTACCCAACACCTAATCTATATTACCCAACACCTAGTCTGTACTACCCAACTCCTAGTCGATATTACCCAACTCCTAGTCTGTATTACCCAACTCCTAGTCGATATTACCCAACACTTAGTCTGTATTACCCAACACCTAGTCGATATTATGCAATACCTAGTCTGTATTACCCAACTCCTAGTCTGTATTACCCAACACCTAGTTGATATTACCCAACTCCTAGTCGATATTACCCAACACTTAGTCTGTATTACCCAACACTTAGTCGATATTACCCAACTCCTAGCCTGTATTACCCAACTCCTAGTCGATATTACCCAACACTTAGTCTGTATTACCCAACACCTAGTCAATATTACGCAACACCTAGTCTGTATTACCCAACTCCTAGTCTGTATTACCCAACACTTAGTCTGTATTACCCAACTCCTAGTCTGTATTACCCAACACCTAGTTGATATTACCCAACTCCTAGTCTGTATTACCCAACTCCTAGTCGATATTACCCAACTCCTAGTCTGTATTACCCAACTCCTAGTCGATATTACCCAACACCTAGTCTGTATTACCCAACTCCTAGTCAATATTACCCAACTCCTAGTCGATATTACCCAACTCCTAGTCTGTATTACCCAACACCTAGTTGATATTACCCAACTCCTAGTCTGTATTACCCAACTCCTAGTCTGTATTACCCAACACTTAGTCTATATTACCCAACACCTAGTCGATATTATGCAACACTTAGTCTGTATTACCCAACACCTAGTCTATTACTCATCACTTAGTCTGTATTACTAAGCACCTAGTCAGCTTTACCCAACTCCAATTCTGTATGACCATATACCTAGTCTGCATTACCCATCACCAAGTATGCATTACCCAACTCCCAGACTCTGTTACTCATAACCTAGTCTTGTTTAAGCTGACCTACAATATGTATTACTAAGCACTAGTGCTGGTATTGGCATACAACCTGCGATACGATACATCACGATGCTAAAATTTTAGTCAGGACGATATATTGCCAAAGTATCGTGCACTGAAGCTGCGATACGATATGAATCCCGATATAAGGGTGACGATACGATACGCATCACGATACTAAAATCTTTAATTCTAACACCAACTACAAAACACCTTAAGATCAAAACAAAACCATATTAAAATATTTCGTCAAATTCCTGCAGCGTTTTTCAATGTTCATTCGGAAAAGAGATAATTAAGTTTATACACGGACTTTGTAATGATAATAACATGTGAGCGTTATGTCTGACACAGTTCTTGACGCAAAAAGCTGCCGAGAAAACGTTTACTTATGAAGGGAAAATATGTAAGCAAATATTTTAATCATCAAATAAAAGAGTCTTTTTTCTGGACAGATATCGCGATTCGGCAATATTCAAAGTTAAACATTGACGTATCGTCGCACATTTGAAGTATCGTATCGGGATATACGACAATGTAAAACTTTGTATCGATTCACTGTATCGACGGCCCATGGATCGATGTATTGTTGCATATCGATTAATCGTCACACCACTACCAAACACCCAGTCTATATCAAACAAACTCTCTGTCTACATCAACCAATACCCAATCTGTGACCCAACACCCAGTCTGTATTACCCGATACCCAAACTGTATGACCAAAAACCCGTTTTTTTCACCCAACACACCACCTGTATGACCCAATATCCAATCTGTACGACTAAACTCCAACTCTTTATTACTAGACTCAGCTCTGCATTACCTGACTCCCTTCAGGTTGGCCTGGTCATATGGCCGAATGTAGTCCGTCTTGTCCTTGGTGATGACACACACATCAATGTTGCTGCCAGAGCCAAGATCATTGAAGATGCCGCCAGCAATGGCATCTCGCACTAACTGCACTGCGTCATCTCGCTATCAACACAGTATACAAAGGTCCTTAAAGCCATGTCATTGTTTTCAGCCACATCTGAGTCTGATTTACCAGTTCTATTTACTCCAGGGATTTCTACACGGAAGATCAGGCCATGAAGAACACATTATACTGAGGTCAGCCAACATTATCATCACTGGCAGCTTAAAGGCTTCAAAACTGTAGCATAGCAACACAAGGGAGATAACTCCTAGGAGCAGAGCTTTGTTTTTTCTTGGTATCAATTTGCATATTTGTAAAAACATTACATTTCTAGGTTGTCCAAACATCATAATGCACTTACGTGATGTAAGCTTTTCAAGTCGTATTCTTATATTACAATATTTCATTGACGTAATTTATGAATTCCCGACTGATTAATCTACTCACAGACATATCTGCTTTAAAGCCATCTTCAAAAACAGCCATGGCAGCAAGGGAGCCTGATCCTGCAAAAGGAGACACAGACAAATCAGACAGTCACATCAGACAAAGTCACATTAGACAAGTACACAGGAGATTCAGACACATCAGACACAGTCATGTTAGACACATACCAAGGAGGAGGAGACGCAGCAGACACATACAAAGGAGGAGACACATCAGACACATACACAGGAGATTCAGACACATCAGACACAGTCATGTCAGACACATACCAAGGAGGAGGAGACACATCAGACACATACACAGGAGATTCAGACACATCTGACACAGTCATGTTAGACACATACAAAGGAGGAGACACATCAGACACATACACAGGAGATTCAGACACATCAGACACAGTCATGTCAGACACATACACAGGAGGAGACACATCAGACACATACACAGGAGATTCAGACACGTCATGTTAGACACATACACAGGAGACACATCAGACACATACACAGGAGATTCAGACACATCAGACAGTCATGTCAGACACATACACAGGAGGAGACACATCTGACACATACACAGGAGATTCAGACACGTCATGTTAGACACATACACAGGAGACACATCAGACACATACACAGGAGATTCAGACACATCAGACAGTCATGTCAGACACATACACAGGAGGAGACACATCTGACACATACACAGGAGATTCAGACAGACACAGTCATGTTAGACACATACACAGGAGGAGACACATCAGACACATACACAGGAGATTCAGACACATCAGACAGTCATGTTAGACAAATACACACGAGATTCAGACACATCCACACGAGATTCAGACACATACACACGAGATTCAGACACATCAGACACATACACACGAGATTCAGACACATCAGACACAGTCATGTCAGACACATACACAGGAGATTCAGACACATCAGACACAGTCATGTTAGACACATACACAGGCGGAGACACATTAGACACATACACAGGAGATTCAGACACGTCAGACAGGCATGTTAGACACATACAAAGGAGATTCAGACACATCAGACACATACTCAGGAGATTCAGACACATACACACGAGATTCAGACACATCACACACAGTCATGTTAGACACATACAAAGGAGGAGACACATCAGACACATACACAGGAGAAGACACATCAGACACAGTCATGTCAGACACATACAAAGGAGGAGACACATCAGACACATACACAGGAGATTCAGACACATACACAGGAGATTCAGACACATCACACACAGTCATGTCAGACACATACACAGGAGATTCAGACACATCAGACACAGTCATGTTAGACACATACACAGGCGGAGACACATTAGACACATACACAGGAGATTCAGACACGTCAGACAGGCATGTTAGACACATACAAAGGAGATTCAGACACATCAGACACATACTCAGGAGATTCAGACACATACACACGAGATTCAGACACATCACACACAGTCATGTTAGACACATACAAAGGAGGAGACACATCAGACACATACACAGGAGATTCAGACACATCAGACACAGTCATGTCAGACACATACAAAGGAGGAGACACATCAGACACATACACAGGAGATTCAGACACATACACAGGAGATTCAGACACATCACACACAGTCATGTCAGACACATACAAAGGAGGAGACACATACACAGGAGATTCAGACACATCAGACAGTCATGTTAGACACATACAAAGGAGATTCAGACACATCAGACACATACTCAGGAGATTCAGACACATACACACGAGATTCAGACACATCAGACACAGTCATGTTAGACACATACAAAGGAGGAGACACATCAGACACATACACAGGAGATTCAGACACATCAGACACAGTCATGTCAGACACATACAAAGGAGGAGACACATCAGACACATACACAGGAGATTCAGACACATACACAGGAGATTCAGACACATCACACACAGTCATGTCAGACACATACAAAGGAGGAGACACATACACAGGAGATTCAGACACATCAGACAGTCATGTTAGACACATACACAGGAGATTCAGCCACATCAGACACATACACAGGAGATTCAGACACATCAAAGTAACATCAGACACATACACAGGAGTTTCAGAAACAGACATCCAAGAGTCACTGTCACTGTCAACAATATTTCAGTCACATCATGAAGTCCACAGTGATGCAGGTGTGAGACATAAGGTGGTTGCTGAAACAATGTAGCATCCTGATGAACCAAAGAATGTTGACATACTTGGCTTTATAACCCATGATTACTTTTATACCAGCACATCAAATATACTAGTTGGTGTGGTTATACTGGTAAAGTTAATGGTAATGTCAAATACAGGATGAGATTGTCACTACCATTATTTCCTAATTTGGTGACAGTTTTAGACATTTATGATCAGTGAGTGAGTGAGTATTTGGTTTTACGCCACTTTTAGCAATATTACAGCAATATCACGACTTGGGTCACCAGAAATAGGCTTCAAACATTGTGCCCTGATTTGGGGAATCGAACCCGGGTCTCCAGCGTGACATGTGGACGCTTTAACCACTAGGCTACACCACTGGTATGTTGTATCTAAAATCAATACGACTGGTATGTTGTGTCTAAAATCAGGTGAGGTGAGGTGAAATTGGGTTTAACGTCGTGCTAGAGAATATTTCGCTCATAATCCTATGACAACGTGCATGCATGTGTATGTGTATGTGTGGCTGCTTGTACTAGCCCAGACTGAAGCTGGTTTTATAGTGCTAGCCCACTGAGATACCATGCCGCAGTGAAGCATGAATACCCCACTCAGAAACATTATATTGACTCCGAGCCGACCAGTCCTTGTTGTACCCATTAATGCCGAGCGCCAGGCAGGGACCAACAAGTACCATATTTTAACGTCTTTTGGTATGACGTTGTCGGGGATCGAACCCGCGACCTTCCGCTCTCCGGGCGGTCTAAAACCAGTATGACTGGCATGTTGGAACACCTACCCATGGTGACATATGGCAGTTTGTCCGTTGACCCATGGGGCCAGACACTGTACAGGTGAGGGCCAGTAGAGTCCACGCCACCTAGCACCAGGGCGGCACTAATGTAACCATGGTATCTGAAAACACACACATAACAAGCTACAAGATTGAAAACACTTGACATTCGATTATTTCTGATATAGTTGTAGGTGATACAGTGCTACCTGATGGATGAATGGATTCATAGGACACATATTTGCATAAGTCTGTTGTGAATTCATGCTCATATGTGATTGGAAAAGAACCAAACAGTCATCCAATGAAATTCAACAACAGAAAGTGCTATTCAGTTCTAAGCATGGAACCCCAGTAACCATTGCACCTCAGGTACTACATGCCCCATGCAAGAAACCGGAGGATTCTATGAAAGCATAGATCCCAATAACCATTCCAACCTGAGGAACAATGCTAACTGAGGCATTATTATGCAATGGGATCTCAAAATATGACTAGAGCTTATTGTTGAGCAAGGAGCATCACCTGAAGAGCATCTGTTTGAGCAGTCTGTTGGCTGTACACACACGTGGCTTACGGCCAGTGTTAAGTCTGTGCAGCTCCAGCTGGGAGGAGATCATCTGTGTTGTCATCTCCGTGTCAGCTGCTGTACCCGCACCACAGCAGCTGGACAACAAACAAAAACATCAGTTCAGTTCCACAACTGGCCTAGTAACAGTGAGTGAGTGAATGAGTTAAGTTTGATGCCGCACTCAGCAATATTCCAGCTATATGGCGGCGCCTAGCAACAGAGACATCAGTTACAGTACTACACCTAGCCTAGCAACAGAGACATCAATTACAGTACTACATCTAGCCTAGCATGAGTAGCAACAGAGATATCAGTTATGTACCTCACATGGCCTACTAACACTAACAATGCCATCAGTTACAGTACTACAACTTGCCCAGTAACAAAGATATCAGTTACAGTGCTACACCTGGCGTACTAACAATGACATCGGTTACAGTACTACAACTTGCCCAGTAACAAAGATATCAGTTACAGTGCTACACCTGGCTTACTAACAATGCCATCAGTTACAGTACTACACCAGGGCTAACAACAAAAATATCAGTTACAGCACAACACATAGCTAGAAACAAAGATTTCAGTTACAGTACCACACATAGCCTACCAAAAGAAACAAAAAATATCAGTTACAGCACCATAGATGACCTAACAGCAAACATATACAGTGGACTCTGTCAATACCGGCCTCTGTAAACACCGGCACTCTGTCTACATCGGCACAAAGTTTCAGTCCCGGCAGAAATGCACGTTATTATCATTTAGAAACTTCTGTAAACATCGGCATCTGTCTATTCAGGATATCGGCATTGTTTTTCAGTCCCAACGAACAAGTTGTTATGAAAACGAATCTGTAAAAACCGGCACATGAAAGACGGCGTAACCCTTTGATGCAATTGGGTCCAAATGATGTAACAACACAATTCGCTGTGACTCTCGAGATTATTCAGAAACGGGAAGTGTTAATCAGTATCTTGTTAATCAGTGAGTGGTACGTGAATAATTTACCCTGAGTAATTAATACATGTAGTGGGCAGTTTGACTGTATAAACAAGCAAGTGTTTACATTTTGTTGATTTCATGGGTATTGACTCGAGATTATTCAGAAACGGAAGTGTCAATCAGTTTCTTGTTAACTAGTGAGTGGCACATGTCACTTACATAGAGGAGAATCGTTTGATGGCGGGTATCGTTCGAAAGCTCTGAACATCAACAATATCACTGCACTCTTGCCGAGAGTATTTTCAGTTTTTCACATTTGTAAGAAGCGATTTTATTGGATAAAGATTGGTTTCTAACGACGCTTTTTCACTACACTCTGCTTATAAGGGTCATGATTGGTCAAAATCAGACACGTGACCTAAGCAGCCAATCATATTATGGAAATGGATACCGTCCTCGTAAACGAAAAACTTTTAGATTAAGACGAAAGGTTTTGGGTAAAATAATGCTATTCTGAACATATTAAGAAAGACATCGCTACCTATACGTAAATTATGGAACGTATTGGACATATCGTGCTAGGTTATGGTTTATGACAAAAATGCTTCATGCATATATTTTCACATTAAGCATCGTGGTCCGGGCGCCAAGACGGAGGCGTGAAAGATGAGATGTAACTTGTCAGTGACTTGACTTTACATTGCATGATCGCACAAAAGCATGGAAATAGTAACTTTATATGTACGCTTGACAACTTTTATGAATGTTATTGTTGATTTCAATTTATTTAATGATTTCCTCGATGTTTGAATCATCGTTACTTTTGCTCTTTGACATTTGCTATTGTAGACCCGCGCCGCGACAAGCATAAACAAGAATCGTTGTTTTCAATAACATTGCTAAAAATAGTTTATAATTTTAATTCTGCCGATAATATATGATCAGTTGAAATTTAATAAGAGATTTCAGACATTTTTATTTGATTTAAACAACATGAATGTGCATTGAGACACTGCCTTGTTTCTTATTCAAACATCTTGTTAATGCTAAAGTGACAGTACGACAGCGAACTTCCGTGTGCGCAGGCGTCATAAGCGAACCTAGCTAAACCGGCACTCTGTCAAAACCGGCATTTTTATTTGGTCCCGACTGATGCCGGTATTGACAGAGTACACTGTAGATCAATTATAGCTCTACAGTTGCCTCAGCGAAACACATCTACACCTCGCCTTAAGTTATCAACAGTCTTCAGTTAGTAAACGTTACAGTGTCTGCAATTATCTCATGCACCGAGTTACTACAATTTCCAGTACTCACTAAATGTTAGAGGACATGTAGTGTATTTTGGCGCAGTTCTTGTCGGCAACCACAGTGTCCTCTGTTGCCCTTGTATCTGCACCCAACACAACACCATCCTGTAAACAGAAAACACCCAGCATAACATGAGAGAACAGTATTCACAAAACTGTGTGCAGAACACTTGAGAAGCAAAACAAGATGATTGGGTTAACTGGATTTCATTTCTGCGAGCCACATAAAAGGTTATTAGTCCTTATAAATAGTTTCACCTTTCAATCTGTAAAGACTCAAAATGATCTGCCAAATATCTAAAGCAGGGATCTGGTAGGACCAGGTAGAGTAAGTGATCATTTGCAACAATTTTAAGAGAACAGCAGGCTCTACAGGCTAGAACTATAATTTCATTCAGGCTAGTAGAATTATCATTACTTTTGCCTATGATAGTTTCTACAAGTCACCTACCTACAGGCAAGCATGCTTTCCATCACTAAGAATACAATATGTGACATTTACCTTGAAGACAACACCACAAATAGTTGTTCCTGTTTTGTAAACCTTGGGAGCCTTGAACCCTTGGTTTTCTAACATCAAGTTCCTGCAAGAAACAAAGAGATCATCCCCTGTTATGTTTGTATTTACCATGTTCACAGATATTACATTTCAATTTACTCTGGTATTTTTTCTCATTAGAGTACATCACAGCATCCTCAAGCATGCAGCTGTAAGCATGGTAACATTGTTAACATGGTACATAATGACACATGCAAACCACTCTTTTGAGCATTTTGAGTTTTAGTTTAGTGAGTTTAGTTTTACGCCGCACTCAGCAATATTCCAGCTATATGGCGGATGAGCATTTTGAGTATATGAAATTAATTTCAAAGTTTAAGCATGTCTATATGGTCAAAGAATGTGCAAAACAAAGTTGGATTAACTTTCCTTGTTCATTGTAACGTTTATAACATGTTTAATGCTATAACAATCGTTTTCTAAAGTAAATAGATTTTTCAGGCATTAATGAAATAGAAATACCATATCATTATCAAGTGCATGGGGTTGTTTTTAGTCAATAGCTTTTAATATCTGACACATTTGTTTCAATGCTGATGTTTATTTTTCTATGTGTATTAAATTCTCAGCCTCTCTAAAACATAATGAAGGTAAAATAAAACTAGGCCATATACATGATACGTATGCATACAGAACAAATCTTTCTGCTTGTCTGGGGGTGATGGAGTAGCCTAGTGGTTAAAGCATTTGCTCATCATGCTGAAGGCCATTGAATTCCCCACATGGGTACAATGTGTGAAGCCCATTTCTGGTGTCCCTGCCATGATGTTGCTTGAATATTGCTAAAAGCAGGGTAAAACCATACTCACTCACTCTGATTATTTGGTGTTATCTGCCTTGTTTAAAAACACTGGTTCATTGGCTCATACTTCACTGATTTTGAATGTCTTTCGATATTTAGGATTTGTTTGTTTAGGTAAGGCTACCACAAACAAAAAGTGTGACAGTTTCTCTGGTTCAATGGCAGCATGTTTAGGGGAAAATAGCTAAAATTATCGGCTACAGATGACAATGCAACATGGCCAAAATCTGTCTACTCATGTTCAGGTGTTTACTTACAGAACTAATAGAACAAGAACTGATGAACACACCCTTGAGTTACCCTACATGTCGATAGAATAAGGATACAGCATTGCTCATATACACTCTTATGTAGATTTCTTACAAACCTTTTGCAGTTTTCAAAAGAAAACCCTCCTTGGGGTAACTCGGTAGCTAATGCGGCGGCCATGTTTCTGAAACACTAACGCCGGAGTGTACGCTTTTCTAAAGTTTCATTGGCTGAATATTTCTTAAACTCCTTACGAAGTTATTTCTAAACTCTAAACAGCGCCGTGTATCTGCTCATGAACTCCACGCAGAGAAACGCATTCAGATGGTGTTAAATGGTGTCCAGAGTTGTCATATTAAACGAGAAGCGGAGGTTTCGAATACTAATCGAGGTGAATATGTAGCATATCCTCGTTCATATTCAATCAGTCGAGATGTTTAGTTATGGCAGAAAGACGGTCTACTTTTAGCATAACTAGGGTGAAGAAGAACCGCGGCATGTCATATTTTGAAGACTGAATTTCACACAAAGATCCTCTTTGATAGTTTGACAGTTTTTTCCAATAAGCTACCACTGTAATCTTTCTAAAATAATGAACTTTTTAACACCAAGGTAAAAATAGATCACTTTTGTAAGCTGACTTTGACATGCCTTCTATGTCAACAATGAAACTAAACAAAAATTCAGCCTAAACATTAATGTAATACAGCAATTAATGTACACTGTACTCCTGATAGATACAGAACCGTAACCTTGATTCGTGGATAACCTTGATTCGTGGATCGCGGTAATTATCATGCTATCTCTTAAATTAAGTCTTGTATGACATCATGAAGCGGGACTTTTGATGTACACACAGTGCCACGTCTCGCTGACAAAAGTGTTCTGAATCTCTGCATTACACGTAACTACACTAAATCTAATTGTCCTGCACTGAGATAAATAGCCCAAGATCACTAATGCCACTAATAACAAATTTCATTTTTACAAAATGTCAAGTAAAAAAGATACCTGTTAGCACCAACCTTTCTCATATCTCGTCACCTGCTTTCCTAGGCGTCAATACTTACTGCAATGGGCTGTCGTACATAGTGATATAAAGTAACCGACTATGTAATCCATGAAACAAGGTGACGTCACATTTTGTGTGATGGGTGAATGGGTGATGATTGCAATTAATTAAAAATGGCTTCGGTAAACAAACGTTTCATTCACGAGTGGGATATTAGGCATTTTCAATTTGCATGTATTCATTCCGTACCAGTTAAGTAGCCAGGCAATACAGCTGATATGGATTTTCGGCCCAAGGGCTCATATGCTTGATATATGCATTTTCAGCTCGGGTGGACAATATGGACATATGCGGACAGCCAGTATATATTGTATGTGCAAAATGGTCCATATTATTCATAAGTTTATGACAATACATAAGACAATATATAGTTGCTTGACCTGAGATTTATTATGAACAAACAATTTCTCTCCAGAATGTCACTGACTGCAACAGACACCAAGACACTGCAGTACCTGCTGAAGGTGTCAAAACCTGCCCATGATCCACTGGTGACTTTAGCTGGTGTGACAGCCATCTTTGAGTTTGTCAGATCGACAGATGACAAAAAAGTTGTGCAATGGATGTTGGAGGAAGGTCTGGCTGATATATTGGTCAGCTGCTTGGACACCTGGAAACCACAGGGCAACAGCCAGGACATACACAGTGTTCTTGTGTTGGTCACACTGGAACTCACCCACCATCTTTCATCCATACCTCACATGCTTCCGCAACAAATGATGACAGGCAGATTTTACACATCGCTACTTCATTTAGTAAACACGAAAGGAGAATTTTTCAGATTCTCTGATGAGTTTCAAAAAACGTTTTGCTTCTTAACACAAAGAAAACAGCTCATTGCAAATGTAGTCAAGGAGAGAGTTGATGGAGATGTTAAACATCATCTTGGAAACGTTCTAAAATATCCCGTAGATCTTCCTGGGTGTGTGTACAGATGCAGCTGCTTCGACACCAGTGAGGAGACGGACATCAACATCACACAACAGCTAATAAGTGAAGGTCTAGCCTGGCCCAACTTAGACACACAGGAAGAAGCTCTACAGAACTGGACAGATGTGGTTATTACCCAGTATCTCGGGGATCAGTACTTCTTTGCTCTACTTGGTGAAGCAGCCATCAGACAGGCAGCTGCCATCAAGTCCATCATAGAAAACGAGAAGGGTGATCTGAAAGCTGCATCTATCGAGGTCAGAAAGATTGTGCTTGTGCTTGCATTTCGAGATGGGCAACAGGAGTATGTGCGAGGTCAGGTTGTCAGCCATGTTGGAGAATGGGTGACGGTGATGATGCTGGACTATGGTGGGGTGAGGGAGGTTCAGCTGCTGGATGTCTTCGAGTTGCCGTCTGCTCTCAGTCTCATGTACTTCCCAGCCCAGGTCTCCCTGTGCTACCTGGCAGGTTGGTTACACTCTTACTGACAAGAAACCTGTACTGAAACACGGGGCTTGTGAAGTCAATGAGTAGCAAATTAATCACAGAATTCTAATCCCGTTAGAAACACATGGGCAACCAGTTTGATGCATATAATTTCTCAAAGAGATCCTTCATATTACGATAAATGAAAAACTATATTTTAAAACTTTGTGTTTTATTTTAAGCTCTTGAAAAAAATGGATAAAACCTGAAATCATACAGAAAATATAAATGGGCAATAGGCCATGTTTATGATATATATATACTTCTGATTAAATATGTTTGTAGTAGTAGCTGAAGTTAATTTGTTATTGTTGTGTAGGTGTGCGTGCACCGGCCTGTGATGTTAACACCATGCAGTTGGCCCTGGCATCAATGTGTAACCTCATCCGCTACTGTGTCGCATCAGGTGAGTAACCTCATCTGTTACTGTGTCTCATCAGGTGAGTAACCTCATCCGCCACTGTGTCTCATCAGGTGAGTAACCTCATCTGTTACTGTGTCTCATCTACTGTGGGTGAGTAACCTCATCCGCTACTGTGTCTCATCACGCCGGGTGAGTAACCTCATCTGTTACTGTGTCTCATCGGGTGTAACCTCAGTAATCTGTGTAACCTCATCCGCTACTGTGTCTCATCAGGTGAGTAACCTCATCTGTTACTGTGTCTCATCAGGTGAGTAACCTCATCTGTTACTGTGTCTCATCAGGTGAGTAACCTCATCCGCTACTGTGTCTCATCAGGTGAGTAACCTCATCTGTTACTGTGTCTCATCAGGTGAGTCACCTTATCTGTTACTGTGTCTCATCAGATGAGTCACCTTTCTGTTACTGTGTCTCATCAGGTGAGTCACCTTATCTGTTACTGTGTCACATCAGGTGAGTCACCTTTATCTGTTACTGTGTCTCATCAGGTGAGTCACCTTTTCTGTTACTGTGTCTCATCAGGTGAGTCACCTTATCTGTTACTGTGTCATCAGATGAGTCACCTTTTCTGTTACTGTGTCACATCAGATGAGTCACCTTTTCTGTTACTGTGTCTCATCAGGTGAGTCACCTTATCTGTTACTGTGTCACATCAGATGAGTCACCTTTTCTGTTACTGTGTCTCATCAGGTGAGTAACCTTATCTGTTACTGTGTCTCATCAGGTGAGTCACCTTATCTGTTACTGTGGCTCATCAGGTGAGTCACCTTATCTGTTACTGTGGCTCATTGGGTGAGTCACCTTATCTGTTACTGTGTCTCATCAGGTGAGTAACCCACCCAATCACTCACTAAAACCTGAACTATAAAATTGTCAGCGACATTCACCCAGTGGTACCTTATATATCTAGGATATATCCCCTTGTTATACCCCCGCTACAAAGTAACGGGGATATATAGCGTTCATTCTGTCCGTCCGTGCGTCCGTCCCGAAACTTTGTCCGGAGCATATCTCTTAAAGTTTACATGCTAGGTTCACCAAACTTCACACACATGCTAATCATTACCCATTGATGTGCCTTTTGCTATTATAAAGGTTTTTCAGAATTTTGTTTTTTTGCTGTTTCCATGGAAATACGACTTAGTGCCAAATGTGTTTGATGGTTTTGTCCGGAGCATATCTCTTAAAATTTGCATGCTAGGTTCACCAAACTTCACACACATGCTAATCATTACCCATTGATGTGCCTTTGCTATTTTAATTTTTTTTCAGAATTTTTTTTTTTTTTGCTGTTTCCATGGAAACACGACTTAGTGCCAAATGTGTTTGATGGTTTTGTCCGGAGCATATCTCTTAAAGTTTACATGCTAGGTTCACCAAACTTCACACACATGTTAATCATTACCCATTGATGTGCCTTTTGTTATTTTAAATTTTAAATGTGTGCAACATGAGAGTCAGTAACATTCTTCACCAATGTCCACTTGATTGTGTGCAACATGAGTCAGTGACATTCTTCATCTATGTCCACTTCATTGTGTGCAGCATGAGAGTCAGTAACAATCTTCACCAAAGTCCACTTCATTGTGTGCAACATGAGACAGTCAAGTTCAGTTGTATGTCAGGTTTCCACGGAAAACAAAAAAAAATAATGTTTCCATAAATTATTACTGTAATCAGTACATGGCAAAACTATTATCTAACATGTATATAAGTTTAGTAGAGTCAAGGAGAAAGTCTTGTGAGCTGCTGATCCTTGTCACATTATATATATCAATATCAGTCATTTCCATGTCCCAAAGTGGGAAGCGGGGGTATGTGAGCTGTGCTCACTTCTACACTTGTTTTCAGGGTTGACTTTGTTGAAGACAGATTGTTGTTTGACATACTTGCTGCGGGTCCTGCGGTGTCCGGACTCCAGCCTGGTGCTGCAGACTCTCCGCGTCATCAACAACCTGGCCACCAACCCTCGCACCGACCAGACTCTGTTCGAACCAGTTCTCCTCGACCTTCTCGGTAAGCATACCAACTCCCCGTCACCAGCACTCCTACCACCTTCTGTACCACTATACCACCACCTGTACCACCTTCTGTACCACTGTACCACCTTCTGTACCACTATACCACCACCTGTACCACCCACCTTCTGTACCACTGTCCTGCCATCTGTACCACTATACCACCACCTGTACCACCTTCTGCACCACTATACCACCACCTGTACCACTATATCACCACCTGTACCACTTTCTGTACCACTATACCACCACCTGTACCACCTTCTGTACCACTATACCACCTTCTGTACCACTGTCCTGCCATCTGTACGTCTATATCACCACCTGTACCACTTTCTGTACCACTATACCACCACCTGCACCACTATACCACCACCTGTACCACTAAACCACCTTCTGTACCACTGTCCTGCCATCTGTACCTCTATATCACCACCTGTACCACTTTCTGTACAACTATACCTCCACCTGTACCACTATACTACCACCTGTACCACCTTCTGTACCACTATACCACCTTCTGTACCACTATACCACCATCTGTACCACTATATCACCACCTGTACCACCTTCTGTACCTCTATATCACTACCTGTACCACCTTCTGTACCACTATACCACCACCTTATGTACCACTATACCACCTTCTGTACCACTGTCCCAAGCATCTGTACCTCTATATCACCACAATCCGCGACCACTTTCTCTGTACCACTACCATACCACCACCTGTTCAAAATTCCTATACCACCACCTTCTATACCATCAACTATACCACCATCTGTACCACTTTCTGTACCACCTATACCACCTCTCTGTACCACTATATCAACCTGTACCACCTTCTCTGTACCCACTATACCACCATCTTATGTACCACCTATACCACCTCTATACCACCACTGTCCTCACCATCTGTACCTCTATATATCACCACCTGTACCACTTTCTGTACCACTATACCACCATCTGTACCACTATACCACCTTCTGTACCACTATACCACCATCTGTACCACCTTCTGTACCACTATACCACCTTCTATACCACTATACCACCTTCTATACCACTATACCACCTTCTGTACCACTATACCACCATCTGTACCCACCTTCTGTACCACTATTACTATACCACCATCTGTACCACTATATACCACCACCTGTACCACCTTCTATCACCAGCTGGTACCCACCTTCTGTACCACTATACCACCATCTGTACCCACCTTCTGTACCACTATACCCACCATCTGTACCCACTATTTGTATCTGCACCACCTTCTGCACCTCTATACCACTTTCTGTACCACTATACCAACGTCTGTACCACTTTCTGTACCACTATACCACCATCTGTACCACCTTTTGTACCACTATACCACCTTCTGTACCACTTTCTGTACCACTATACCACCATCTGTACCACTTTCTCTACCACTATACCACCTTCTATACCATTATACCACCTTCTATACCACTATACCACCATCTGTACCACCTTCTGTACCACTTTCTGTACCACTATACCACCATCTGTACCACTTTCTGTACCACTATACCACCTTCTATACCACTATACCACCACCTGTACCACCTTCTGTACCACTATACCACCTTCTGTACCACTATACCACCATCTGTACCACTATATCACCACCTGTACCACCTTCTGTACCTCTATATCACTACCTGTACCACCTTCTGTACCACTATACCACCACCTTAGGTACCACTATACCACCTTCTCTACCACTGTCCTGCCATCTGTAAATCTTTATGCATTCACCACCTGTACCAATTTCTTCACCTGTACCTTCTCTAACACCACCTGTACCCACCTTCTGTACCACTATACCACCTTCTGTACCACTGTCCTGCCATCTGTACCTCTATATCACCACCTGTACCACCTTCTGTACCACTATACCACCACCTGCACCACTATACCACCACCTGTACCACTATACCACACTGTCCTGCCATCTGTACCTCTCTATCACTACCTGTACCACCTTCCCTACCACTATATCACTACCTGTACCACCTTCCCTACCACTATATCACCACCTGTACCACTATACCACAACCTGTACCCACCTTCTGTCTAATTGTACCACCACCTTCTGTACCACTATATCCCCACCTGTACCACTATACCACCATCTGCACCACCCTCCTGCACTACTCATACCACACCATCTGTACCACTATACCACCTTCGGTAACCACTCATACCACCATCTGTACCACCTTCTGTACCCACTATATACCACCTTTCTGCACTAATCACTTTTTCACCAGCTGTACCACTTTATGCCACCTTCTGTACCCACTATACTCACCTTCTAAAACACTCACATACACCACCATCTGTAATTTTCTGTAAATTCACCCTATACTCATCTTCTGTACTAATTTACACCTACCATCTCTGTACCGACCTTCTGTGCCTACTGAATCCTGAAAACACTGAGATCACCATCTCTGTGCCTACCTTATGTACCACTATACCACCTTTCTGTACCTTTGACTATAATTTCACCTCATCTGTATTAAACTTCTGTACCACTATGCTCTGGCCCTCTATACCCACCTGTCCGTCCCTATGTCACTTAAAACCCACCCACTGTACCACCTTCAGCCCACGGAGTAGCCTACCCTTCACCACTTTCTGTATTCTTGATGTTTCACCATCTGTACCTACTTTGTACCACTTGAGGTTCTACTCACTGGTACCATTTCTATGTTCTGGGCTATTCCAGCTCTACTACGCCCACTGGCCCAGCCTCCACCACCATCTAGCTCATCCCATCCAAATAACGACCAACTTCTGTACCAATGAAACAACTTTATACCACTCATACCACCTTCATACCACACCTTCTAAAATGTACCAGGCCACCATTCTAAACACCTGTGCCCACTTATACCACCTTTCGGGAACCACTTCACCAACTTATGTCACTTTGCCCCACCAAAATAATATATCAACATTCCAAAATGAGATACCACCATCTTAAACAATTGTCAATTTGTATCACCACCCAAATAAGATGACAATGATAAATACCTTTCATCAATGAGGGAATGTTCATCGAACAATCTTTCGAAATTAATTTGAATAATCTTCAAATTGAATTTTTCACTGGCTGTACTGAATTGAATAATCTTCAAATGATACTGATCTTCTGAAACACAGAATCAACATCTGTAAGGAAACCTGAAATACTGAAATGTTCCTTCTGAATGTTTTGAATGCCTGAATTAAAAGCCGTCTCTGAAATGTTTGTACTGTCTTCGTGTTCATTTGTACCACCATTCCAGTCGACCGGGAAATCACTTGAAATATCCTAAACTGAATATATCAACATGAAAATATAACACCATTCACTGAATTTTCAAACAATTATATCACCTTCTAAATAATTATACCACCACCGTACCGAATTTATTCACTAGCTGAATGGAATCTTTTGTACCACTTATACCAAATCATCTCGAACAGTACCTTCAATGATTTTATACCACCTTCAAATCAATTTTTCGTTCAAAGGAAATGAATATACCAGTCTCTGAAAATTGTCCAGGTCACAGTCTCTGTAACTGACAAAACCGAATGACCAACCAACAACTTAAACACTTATGAATCTCATACCAATTATGTTCATTCCAAAGAATCCTTCCTAAACCACCAGTTTGTACCATCATACTTGTTCTATTCAGCTCGAATTTTCTTCAGGCCTCTTATACCACCTATTCAGGTCGACTTTCGAAAATGAATTTGCACACCAATTCGAGGCTCAATATATTTCATGAATCGGTAATGCAATCTTTCTGAAATTACGAGGGTCATCAGATCTTGTAACGCACTCTTCGTGCCCATTATGGCTCACCGATTCAGGTCACCCTTTCGGGAACACTGAGGTCATCTTCGAATTCATTTGAGTATCACCATTCGAAATTAAATTTCTCGAAATACCGAGGGTCGCATTCTCTGGCGTCACTGAGGTCAATTTCTATTCACTTTATATCACATTCAGGGTTGATCTCTGAAATGTAATTTGAGGATCTCGAATGTAATTTCTTCGAAATTTCTATATCAATGATTCGTACTGCATTTCTTTCTTGAAAATGCACTTATAATACCCTCTCATGGAGGTCTACTATACCGGCTATTCCAGGCCCTTCTGAAATACTGAGACAATGATTCTGTACCACCCTCGGAAATACCTACCCATTCAGGCCCATTCCTTCTGTACCCATTTATACCATCGATTCGTACCACGACTAAATTTAGGCTGAACACTTATAATACCTGACCCAGGTTCTCTGTACCACTTATACCACCTCTGTACCTAATTAAACACCTGTACCACTTTGACAATGATGAACACCGGTACCACCGATACCACTGACACCTGAACAATCTTCTGTACTTATACCATGTTCCAGCCACCACTATGTTTGTCTTCTGTGTTCTTCTGAATTGTCTTTCAAATTACCAAACCACCATTCAGGGCCTTCAGTACCACTTATACCTGTCTTCTAAAATTAATATACTGTTCATCTGTTCTCAACTTTGAAAATACTTTCTGTACCACCATACCACCATCCGGTACCACTTTCAAATCACCATACCAAATTTCAGTAACACTGAAAATGTATCCTGTACTGTCTTCAAACAATTTCATAATGAATCCTTCGAACACCATACCTGTTCACCCCAAATGAATATGATCACCGAACTGAACAATCTTCTGTAAATTTTATATCACTGGTTCCAAAATGAATCTTTCAAATTATGGACGAACTTGAAAATTTATAACACCCTTCACACCTGTCCCGCCATTCTGTAAATTTTATATCACCCACCGAAATGAACTCTTTCAAAATTAATGTTCCACCGAAAACAGATCTTTCTGAAATACTGAGAATCTTCGGGAAATTACCTGTCCCAAATATCCAGCACCTCTGAGACAACACCAAACAATCTCTG